AAAAAAAAAAAAAAAAAAGAGGGGGGTGGGGAGCTAAATCGATATTGAACTGTCCTGATCTCCCGGCCCTCAGGTGGCACAGCATTAAAAACAGACTATGCTCTGTAGTGGAAATCAATGAAAGCCACTGTTGGTCCTCAAATTCAAGTCATAACCCTACAAAAGGACAGGAGAGAGAAGAAGAAAAAAAGCCACAAGATTGAGCAACAGTGCTTTTCTTCCAAGTCTTTTTAAGACTGATTGAGGCAAAGTGTAAAACAGTCCTGTGGACTGGCAAGCAAAACATTCAAAATTCTTTTAAAAATTGGTTCTTCCTACACTCTGGAAAAAAAGACTATGAGGGAATATCTGGCTGGTTATTGACACTTGTTATTAGTTGAAAAGTGAGAATACATACATCTAAGAGGAAATGCATTTCCTCTTAGATATTCCACAATCAACTGTAGGCTGTAATATTGCAAAATGGAAGTGTTTAGGAACCACAGCACTTGGCCACAAAAAGGCACACCACATAAAATGTTACAGAGCAGGTCGCCAAGTACAAATAGTGCATCAAAGTCCAAAACACTGATGATTGAATAAGTTAGAACCTCCTCTGGTATTAACATCAGCATAAACACGGTGTGCAAGAGCTTCATGGCGTGGGTTTCCATGGATAAGTAGCTCCTGTAGGTATAATGTATAGATGGTGTAATATGTGTGTCCACACAGTATATATTTAGGATATTGGACCATACTGTGTATGTTTCGGAGCAACATGCTGGTCCACCCAGGTCATGCTTTTTAAAGGGAAAGCCTGGCATACAGGACTGTGCAACCCCTCATCTCTTTATATTTTTTCTTGGAAAACTGGAAAGGGTGAAGTTATTTACTGAAACATGGGCAAACATGCATGGAAAACAGGATATGAGGTAAAACCATTGAAATGAGCTTGAAAGTCAGTATTTGGCATGACCACCTTTATTTTTTTCCACACAGGATAAACTCTGTGACAAGCTTTCTTGTAATTTCTTTAAGTAGTCTACTCCAGGCTTCTTGAAGGACATTTAAAGCATCTTTGGATGTTGGCTGCCTTTTGCTCTGTTCTCTGTCAAGATGATCCCCACACCCTCCTCCCCCGCCCCCCCTCCCTTCCCAGTTTCTTAAAAACACGACTTTCAGATACTGTTCATCTGCTGCAGATAGTTATGCTAGTTAGGCTAACGTTTAGCAAAGAAAGAGAAATTGCTCAGATCTGGACTGAAGTGAAAGTGATTGAAAAAGCAGCCACTGTCCACAGAAAACCTTTGAAATGGAAAACGATCGCACAGGACCACACTCAGATATTAGAACAAAGTTTGGCTCCTTGGAAGCAAAACATAAAGAAATGAGGGGTGGTTCAAAACTTTTGCACATTACTACATTTCAGCAAGAAACTGCCAATTCAAACCATCCAGGTATTAAACATTACGGTTCATAGCAAACAAGCCTGGATGCCAACTGGCCCACCTGCAGTCCAGACTTGTTGCCAACTGAAAATATGTGGGACATTATGGAACAAAAATGTGACAGAGGAGCTCGAAAAATGCTGAACAGAAGTCCTACATCAAGCCTGAAAGGCTTTTCTGCATAAATAACTATATATTAGTGTCCTCAGTCTTCAAATACCCAATACTGCCAAAAGAAGAGATGATGTAACGCAGAAGTAAACATGCCCCTACCTGACTTGGAACTTTCTGCTAGCTTCAAATTAAAAATATTGAAGACATGTCTAAGTTTCAACATTTGCTGTGTGCTCTTTGTACGGCTTTCAGTAAACTAAATGATTTCAGTGATTTGAAAATAATTAAAATAATTTAACTTTGCAGATTTTCCCCAACTTTTCTGGAGACAGGGTTGCAGCCCATAAATTTTATATAACAAAACTCACGAGTCCGTTTATACAATGAGTGGGTTTTTATTTTAATGTGCATGTAATTAAAAGTGTCTTTTTATTGGTGTGACAGACATTTTTTAATAAGTGAAATTAAAAAGAAAATGTCCATGACAGCTGGGAAAACCATACTACGGGAAGACCACAAGCGCACCAGAGCAGCTACCACTGCACCTCATAGTGGGATTGTTTTTTTGTTTTTTTTTGTTTTTTTTTAAATAATCAGTTTTGTTTGCTAAAAATGGAAGATTTCCTTGTTAATTATTAACAAACAAACAAACACAGCTGCACAAACTATAGTTCCTCATAATAAAATACCAATGTCTATTGCAAGCAACAAGCAAAAAGTGCTAAACATGGTCGAATTCTTGATTTCCAGAGTTCACAAACACATCGTGCACATTTAACAGTAGCACTGTTGTGCTAGCAGCATGACACATGTAACCCTGCTTGTGTGATAAAGCTTGGTACTACCACAGTGGTCTTACTCAGACAAACTGACCTTGCATGACCATTGCTGTTGCCATCACTGTTTGTTTTTCCTTGATAAGGTGTTCAGGAATGTAAGGCAGCAGCCAGAATGAAACCTCGGAGGCAATGTGCATTCGCAGAGCTCACATAAAAATCAACAGAGATCGAACTTAGTGTTTACACAGCACCAGCTTCTGACTTCACACATAATAAAAATACTGCAGAAATGCAGATTTCTGCAGTTTTGCTTGAGGAAAACTTAAATATTAAATCAGCCATGATCAGAAAGTGCAACCTGCAGGCAGGTGGAGTTCACATTAGCATACTCGAGCATCCTCTTTCCAGAGCATAATAGAGCTGGGCACTAGCCAAACAGGCAGAGCGGTATAAAAAATTAATTGTGACCAAATGCCTTTCAGTCACAGCTCATTTCAGTCAAAAAACACAATGCCAGAGTATGGCTAGACCTCTTTGCTTCCTCATGGCGGAGGAAATATGAAAATTAATGAATCACAACATCCAATCCAGCCTTCTTGTTGATGCAGTTATCCAAAGACCTTTAACAAAGCAGAACCAAAAAAAAAAAACCCCCAAATAAAACAAAACAACAGGTAGGAGAACAAGTGTGTGTGTTTGAGTTAAGATTAACAGGCCAGATTGTTGTGTGCTTTTGTATAATACCAGCTACACATCGGGGGGAATAAATCACTCAGGAACAGCTTACAAAGAAAATGTTTTCCATTCTTACAAAGATACAGATGTCTCACTGTGGACCTGGACAGATTTGTCTTGGATAATAAATAAAATTTAACTTCAGCACTAATACACTTAACAGAGTAAAGAGCATTTTCTGCTTAAAGGAGCAGATATAAAAGTACCAGCAAGGCCAGTAAAACATGTTCACTTACATTATTACTGCACACTAATAGATGGGTGTGGATGTTTTCACATAGTTAATTATATTTAGCAGTTTCGTTAAATTAAACATTTAAGTTTTTAGTTTTCTGAAACAAAGAAAAAATTGAACAGAAGCTTGGGTTTTCTTGATGCAATTTCCCTCTTGTTGACACCTTCAGTCAATGAAAGTAAATCTTCTAGCTCACTTCATTTGCCTGGGTAAATAATGCTGCTTGGCATTCTTAAAGGCTGCTTTAGTGGGAACAAATCCCTTAAGCTCTACTGGAGCATATAGGCGACACTCTTAAGTCGAACCCACCAGAGCAGGTCTGGGCACTGATGCATAAACAGTGCACAGCGTGCATCCTCCAATAGCTCACATCACAACAACTTTAAGGGGAAAAAAAAAAAAGTCCAAATATAACAGATAAATATTGGAGTCATGCCCAGTGAGGCTTGCAAACACATAAAAACACTCATAGGGCAACCATTAGCCAGTTTTCACAAATTATACCACGTTTATTGATTCTGACCATACTGGTTATTTAATGGGGTGTTATGAAGATCGAGAGACTACAGCATGACTGACAGAAGGAACTACCAAGGGTTCCCTCCCCTTGTGTCACAGATGAAAATCAGAGGTGCTTATTATTCACTTGGTCTCCCGTAATGTCCCCATTTACATGCAAGTAGAAACCAACAAATCCTCATTTGATTTCTTTTGACGTGTCCGTCTTTAGAGAGGTCAAGGAGGCTGGCTGCATAGCAAGAGTGATTGATCAGAGAAACTCCAAGGGGACGGTTTTGCAGGCAAAGCGATGCTTCCTTTGAAGTAACTTTAATGTGATCTGGTATTTGTCAAAAAGGGATTGCCCATATTTAAAATGCTATAAATAATTTTTTGGCCTATAATATGTCACATGTCATATGAATCCCTCATGAATTATATCAAGTCATCTTGAGTCACAAACAACATTCCTATCACAAGGTAGAAGCCCCAATCTGTTTTTGGCAAAGTGACTTCTATATAGCTTTTATTTATCCATTTAAAAAGTATTTTAAAAAGTATTTTTAAGAGTAATCAGGCCAAGAGGATAGCAGAAATTGCAACAAATATAACAATAGGTCTCTAAAGATATTTTAGATGGCCAGAAAGAACTGCAATGGTTATGATGTACAATAACACAGAGTCATAAAGATACTTTTAAAATAACCCCTTGGTAAATACTGTTCACTAAAGTCTATTTACCAATATAAGTAAAGACATTACATAGAAAAATAAATAAATAAATAAAATTAAAAAAAACATGGAAACAGTGGAAATCAGTTTTGGCAGACGGTCACTCTTTGACACAACATCGATAACCGTTTAAAGACAGCTATAGCCGAATAATTAAGTGAAATCGTTTTAAAGGAGGGGGGAAAAGTTTGCAGCTTGTGAAAAGCCCCCACCCATTTTAATAAATGTTGTTATCATCGTGAACTGCATGACAGAGTTATATGAAATCATCGATAATTATAGTTCTGTTTCCCCTTGCTACTGTGAAATGAGTCACTGTGTAGTTTTGTTTTATTTTTAGTACTGTGACTACATTTTGAATACTTTTTACGTCAGATAACACCGACTTCGGGGCTGTACTCGAAAACTTACTCGGTTTTGTTGCGTGTTTTGTCCTCACTGAGCTGTGACAGATTAATGACCGCCTGTCCCAGCAGTTTGTCCGGGCCCACCAGAGCCCGGTGAAGGACGTGGACGTGCAGCGTGCTGCCTCCTCCTCCCTGGTTCAGCTGCGGGAGGTCGAAAGAGGCCTCCTCCTTCCACACCGGAGCCACGCATTTCTCCACCACTGAAGTCTGGTACTTCTCTTTGCCCACTTGTATGACCGCGTACGCATCGTTGGTGCCACTTTTCCCCTTTATCCTAAGGCTCCTGGCTTGGAGTACCGTTACCTGGACGCTTGTGGGACACCACTGCTGATCCGTCAAGGACATGCTGACACGGCTCAGAGTCGTTAAAAATGTAATCCTCCAAAACAAAACACAGTGGTGGCTACCATCGGCTCACCAAGAGACCGCACAGAAGCAGGGAAAGTTTTTTTTTCCTCCTGAGGCTCGCTGAACTTCAGGAACCAGCTGATTGGGCGTGGTTACACGGAGAAAGGGGCCTTGGTTGTATAAAGCACGCCCTCAGATTAACAGGTTACACGTTTTCTCCAACGAAACTCGCGACGCAGCAATCAATTAGATGACAGAGAACACCTGATGCTTGTTTGTACCTGTCAGACGGCATCAGCGTCATCACATACTGAATGAGCCCGAATAACACCAGGACTGAATGTAAAAGATTTTATTATTCCACGATGTATTTACGGTGCATGCATTTAAATAATAATCTGGCTCTATATGTTTGTATTTTTAGACTAGCTCCAAATTGTGTCATAATTTAAAACTAAAAAATCCTCCTTCCATAGCAGCTATGCCACTGATGTCTAAAATCTGACCTCTGCTCTAATGATTCTGTCACTTGGAGAGGGGATGGGATACCCGACAAGCCACATTTGGCTGGATTCAGTGTCACCTTCAGCTCTGCTGAATTGTAATTAAATTGAAGTGCCAGTGTCTTCATGGATTACATCAAACCTGCAGATCAAGGTTGTAAGTCTCCGAAAAGCCACGAATGTGAGATGATATTTCTCAGGTCTGTTTTCCCCCAGTTTCAGAGCTAGTTCCTTGCAGGCTTTTTCCTCTATACATATGACCTTGAATACGCTTGCATAGGCACGGTAAATTTATTTATTTATTTTTGTCACTGCTATCTAAACAAGTCCATAGAGCAATTTAGATGTTTGTTGATGAAGGTAAATGGATTGCCATGTCACAAATTGCTGCTCAAATACTGACTCCTGCTGTTTGAGGAAGGGAACAAACTTTAAAGACAAATGTGGCTAATTTGCTTTGTAGAGGAAAGTCTGCTGTAAGAGTCAAGGACAAGTAAACTGAAGCTCTTCATTATTAAGGCTTACACGGTGGAGCAGCCCTGAAAAAGTGTGATCTCGCTTTCCTTTTCATGGACAAAATTCAGCAAAGATCAAAGTCACATATAGACACTTGAGCCGATTAGTACATTAGCTAGCACTGCCAAAGTGTCTGGCTGTGATGTAACAGCTTTAGTAGTAAACACTTGTTGCAGTCAGAGGAAAATGTTTTAATCAGATACTACAACAACAAGCCCACATGCCCACAAAACGGTTGCAGAGATGTTCAGCTTTTGGCCTTAATGCAAACAGTTAAAAAAGAGAAGTTAATAAAGTACAACTTTAAATACATTTAGACTGACCTTGGATACAAAGCAATATAGATAGTTAGATGCATAAAATCATTTTCTTTGGTCTACAGCCTGGTAGAAATAACAGTGTAACTCATTGTTACAGCAAATATCTAATCATCTAGTCACAGGGCAACAATCCTATGCATTTAGTAATATGTACATGGTCTATGTACAAGATCTGCTGAAGTTTGAAATGAGTATCAGAATGAGGAAGGAAGACGATATATGTGACTCTGATTGTGGCATGGAGAAGAGTGTCCCTGAGTGCACAGCAAAATTGTAAAACAGAAGATTGGAAAACATTGCCTGTTTGAGTCTCGGTTTCTGCTGATGGCAGAGTCATAATTTGGTGTAAACAATATCAAAGCATGGATCCATATTGCGTTTTACCAGCAGTTCAGGCTGATGGTGATGGTGTAACAGTGTGGGGAATATTTTCTTGGCACATTTTGGACCAAAATGAAAGAGGGTCCAGCCCAGTACTAGAAAGTTGTACCCAACAAAGCACCTATTGTACAAATTGCTGTCTGTGGTGTTTTACATTCACCTTATGTAAAATGTTCTTTAAGAAGTAAAACTCTGCAGTGATAACATACATTCACTGTGTCCTCATTGTCTTGTGGTTGAATCTTTTTTTTTTCCTGGGTTTCCATCCTTTCACTTTGGTCTTCATGGTCACCTACAAGAACTTTGCTGTAAAGTTTCTGCAGCCCTTCTTTAAAAGCATTGTTCACTTTGGCTCGTTTCAGTCCACCATCCCTGAGAGAACATACATTGAGGGGTATTACTCATTGAATCGTCAGCGGTTACAAGTGCAAAGTCGGCATTTGTTAATTCTTCCGTAAAGCTTGAAGGAAACAAGTAAAATTGGGCAACTATAACACTGCACAGTTTCTAAGTCCCAGTTGCACCACTGTTCACATTTCCCTTTTCCAACAATGAACACGTCATTGTTCGGAAATATAAATTATATATAAATATAAACGTGTCTCACCAGATGAGATCTACTAATCCGCCTCGGGCAGCTATGGCGGCTTTCACTCTATTGGCAAACTGTACTGCATCCTCTCCTTCCTGCATATGAACAATAAGAAAAATCGGGCTCTTAAAAAGATGAATTAAACATTATATGATTTAAATTGTTTAAATTAAGGCAGGGCTTTACCTCTCTGTTCATAGGTGGCAGGTACCAAACGCTGCATACGATGGCCCAGCTGCTCATCATACTGAGAAGATACCACACCAGGCCACACTTACTGCTGTTCCAGAAAGCATCACCGAAGCGAGGGTCATACTGCAAGATGACCATAAACGGCCCGTCAGCAGTGAGTAAGAGCAGTATGAGGAGATAGGAGGAAATGGACTGAAGCTCCTACCTTAATGGCAACGGGATAAATAGTGCAGCCAATTTCAAAGCTGCCCTTTTTGAACATCATCACTGATGTGTTGTTAATACAAGTACCTGAAAATTACACAGTGTGAGGATCTTAACAATACTAACGAGGCTGTTTCGGCTGCTTTCTGCTTAGATTACACCCATTATGATACGCACCCTCAGGGAAGATGAGGATGGGCTGTTTGGTTTTATCAGCCACATGATCACTAAGCCTGAAATGAAAAACCAGAACAAACAGATTAAAATATTTGTATTGAAATCTAACCACTTTAAATCTAGTCTTACCTACTGCAATTATAAAAATAGCCGAAACCAATGTATTACACTGACTGCTGAATGCTTCACTTTTAATCACGTGAACCAAATTTAGTGAAACTCACAGTGGGAATCATGCAGTGGTAAATGCCTGACACACAGTATTTTGGCTGTGATATGATGCATACATGCGTATGCAAATACACACACAAAACTATATGCACCCTCTTATTGCATCTACTGTACAAAGGTCTTGAGTCACCCCTCATTTATGCTTTATGCTTTGCTTCCAAGCTTCTAGACTTTCTTATAGTTTCTTCAAGTGCTCTTAATCAATAGTTTTCCAGGCTTTCTGAAGATCTTCTGAAATTTTTCTTTTGCACATTGGCTGCCTTTTCACTCATTCTGAGTCCGGTTCTTGTCCCTGACTATTTTCACAATAATGTTTTTTTAAGCCACTTAATAATGCCCTGTGGATCATTTAAGCATAAAAAACACACCTAACACAATAGACGAACCAATGTTGTGTCTACACGTAATGTAGATGTGAAGCATGTTGTTAAAAAGTTTGAGGAAAAGAGAAGAAATGGCAGACCTAAAAAGCTATCCAAAGCACATGAACAGTATCTGAAATTAATGTCCTTAAGATATAGGAAAAAAATCAGCAAAGATCTGACACAGAACATGTGAGATGCATCTGGGCCTTCAGCTGATCCAGCTACTGTTCACTGAAACCTCATCAGAAATGGTCTCAGTGGAAGGACGGCTGTCAAGAAGCCAATCTTCAGAAAGGGAAACAGGGAGAAAAGGCTGAGGGATGCCAAAATACACAAGAACTGAAATGAAAATCAGTGGAGACATGTCTTTTATGGAGTGATGAATTCAAGTTTGAAGCTTGTGGTTAAAATCTTTGCCACTGTGTACAAATAAGTTCAGAAGGGAGGGACAACAGTGAGCATCGACAGCCATCTGTAAGCAAGGTGGAGGCTCTTTCATGCTTTGTGGCTGCATTTAAGCCAGTGCTGTTGATGATCTTGTCAAAATCAACAAAATTATGAAAGTGGGAAAGTAGCTTCAGATTTAAATAAACCATGCAATACAATCTGGAAAGTATCTGACTAACTTCATTGTTTTGCATGACAATGATCCCAAACACACTGCCAATCCAGAACAGCACTTGATTAAAAACAAAAACACAATGCAATACTATCAGTGATGCACTGGCCTTCCCAGACCCCAGGCCTCAACATTATTGAACCCATGTGAAGCAACAACATCATCCAAAGAAGAGCTTTGAATGTGCTTTAAGATGCCTAGAAAACTGTTTGTGACGACTGCTTAAATAAATGAAAACAAAGCTGACAGTTTTTTCTTATGTGCTGTATTGTCATGTATGTTTTCAATAAATCGCTGCACCTATTTCCCATTTTCCTTGAAAAATATTTTTAAAAATGACAGTGGATCAAGACTTTTGCACAGTATTGTATTTATCCAGCCATGCCTCCTATCCGTTGCTAACCACATTAACATCCTAAGTGGTTACATCCCCCAAAAAAGGAATCCTCCTGATGAAACACAAGAACACAACTCCAGTGCAGTTCCCAAGCACATTTAGTCGGCGAGGGCACTGGGTGTGAAATCTAAGCTCAGTGAAATATGAGGACCAATCTGTTGTGGTGACCTCTTGAAGAACAGGGAGCAGCCAAAGACAGCACACTTATTTGCATACTGAAGCAGAAATTAAAACAGAAAAATGCATGAATGAATCTGCAAAGAAAAGTACACTTTACATAAAGTCAGTCAATAAACGGGGTCTAAAATGATGGGAAGTAGTAAAGATATAAATGTAAACATCAAAAAATAACATCAAAAAATACCAAATAAATGAAATATGAAAACAAATCTGAACATAAATAGCAATATATGGTATATTTAGTGAATTAATGAATTCTATTTGTCTTCAAAGTTAATTTTAATATTAACTTAATATTATTAGCAATCACTCATTGAATAAATGAGTGATTGCTTTCTTTCTTTATATGTTCTGTTGGCAGTTTTGATCCTTCCTATCCCGGGTCACCCACACTGATTTACTTTTTGTCTCTCATGAGGAAAGGGGATTTATATATAAAGACGATGCAATTTTACCTCTTGGCCACTAGGTGTCTGTCTTTGACTTCTGATCTGTCAAACCAGATGTGCGGGGAGGATTTGACCATTCCTCTTTGGATCATCCCCAGCAACCCACGATGCATCTGTCCAACCTGAGAGCCAAGTTCAAAAACAAAAACTCTGCTCATCTCAAATACTCTGTGTAGTACATCAGCATTTATCAAACTCAGAGAAACAAAATGTTGTACCAAAGAGTAGCAGCGATCACTGGCCAAGATGATCACGTCAATGGGTGTCGTGTGATTGGCCACACATATACCACCATTCTTTGGTTTGTTTTCTCTGCAGATAAGACACATAGACACAGTACAAAATAGTGAAAATCTGCCATGTTTGTTGTTAAAAAGTCACCCGATTAGTCACTAGGATATCTTAAATCGAGACATTACGTTAAAGCTGTTTTCCTGTCAAACAACGTGATGCTGCCATGGGTTTGAATAAGGCTGATGTTTGTTTGGGGGTTTTTTTACTGTACCTGTTATGATAGGTGATGATTGCCGTGAGAGAGCTTACACACATGCGATAGCCCATCATGTGAACCTTCTCACTGAGGTAGGATCTTAACCTGAAGACATACAGCATGTAGCCACAGAGTCACTTTATATCTCTTCAGGCTGGTGCTAACAACACTGGAGACTTTAGGTGTTGTGCAAACTTACGCTGCGTTTGGTAAAAACCCCACTAAGGTGGTCAGGAATAGGAAGAGACTAATGCCAGTGACTGCAAGAGTAACCCTGCAGAAAAAGAACAAATAGTTTCCTCAGCAGTCACCCAGCCAGTCACAGTTCTTTTAATGACACAAGTCATACCTGAGAGGCAGCAGGATGCCATAGCGGGTGAGAAGTCCCAGCCCCCACAGGAGTGTAAGTCTCATATTTATGTAATGGAAGTTGTAGTTGCTCCGAGTCAGCAGATTCCAGCTCTCAAGTTCCTGGGCTGAAAATCGCTTGGTCACTTCATCATCCACTATGCTCTCCACGCCCCTTCGGCAAAAGTAGAAGATATCAGCCATATCAAACTCATGATCTGAGCACAGACAGCTGGCAGAACCCCGGATCTCCTGCTGCAAAGATGCTGGTAATTCTTTGGCTATGATACCTGCAGAGAGCGTGCAGAGAAAAATGAATGATTTCATTGTTTAAAACTCATACAAGTCAAATAAACATTTATGACTGACTGTCAGATTCAGTTGTGTGAGGTGTTGTGGAGTATCCAAATACAGGATGCAGTAGATAAAGGTTCAGTTTAAACCTGAGCATTTAAACCAATAAAAGAACAAGTAACAGGCAGTCCAGAAATAGGTGACAAAATCCACAAGGAAAAAGGACTGGGACTAAGGACCGCACAGCTAGTGGGACTACCCCACAAAGGACGAGGGGAGACGCAATTACAATAAATACACCAATAAATACACAAGGTACTTGAGGCAGACAGTGACAGGAGGGGAGCACTAATTATGGGAAACTAGACAAGTAAATTAATTACCAAAACACAGAAGGCACTGGTTACCCAAATAAAACAGGAAATAACCAAACAAGGGTAAACATGACCGATGGAGATTTGACACAAAAGGGCAGAACAGTAAGGAAAGTATAATATACAAAACTATGACCAAGGACAGAACTAATGTACTGCAGGGAAAAGATACATAAATATAAAAACCCAAAGAAAACCAAGAAAACCAGATTACATAAGGAAAACTAAATAGTAAAAAAAAACAACTTCAAAATGACTGAGATACACGTCCCAGAATCATAACACTGATCAATATATGAAAAAAAGGTTTACCATTTGTATGTGTTTTGTAGAGTTGCTGATTTTTTTCTTTTGCTCTCATTTCCATTCGTAAGGTTGCCCACTAATTTAGGACAAAAAAATTAAAAAAACAAGTATATAAAAAAGAGGCTGAACAATTTACCGCTGCATTCATTCTTCTGTTGACAAGCAGCTGTGAATGGAATGATTCTTATATAGGGCTTTTCTATTCTATTTGAGCTCTCAAAGGTTGTTCTTGTGGCATTAGATAAGCAGTAACAACCCTTTTAGGTCTCCAAAATACCTTCAAGTTCACAGATTCAAAGAGAAAATGGAAAGCACAGACAAAAATATGATCAAAGTAATGAAACTGGGCAAGATGCTCCCTGGAGACTAAAGCTCTGCTGAGGAAAAGGATGGGAAACCAAGTTTGGCTCAGAAGCCTGCAGCTAAGAAAACAAAGCATAGAAACTCGAGAAACGGTTCTGATATTGTGATCCAATTTACCTCCAATCTAACCTTTTTCCAAAAATTTAAAAAAACTGTTTTAAAGAAACCAAACAGTTTTGAGGAACATGATGTTTGCACCAGAGAAGACATTTAAAAAAACACTATATCATCGTCACAGTATCATAATGGCATGTACTGCAAATAAAACATCACTGTACATCCAAGCAGGGTGACCATGTTGTAACCTGGTCCTCCAGCCCGTAAACCAAAACAAAACAAAAAACAGTTGCAATCCTCGTGCATGTTCCTTAAGCTTTAATTACGATTACATTTCTCCTGAGTAGTAGAATTTATCACATGGGTAAATGCTTGCTTCTTCTTAGGGTGGAGTCACTAAGCCTTACTCCCCGAAGAAGCAGCAGCAACATCCCCTGTGCTTCTAACAGTCCTTCTGAGCCTTAAGAACAAAGGCCTCCATCCTCTTTGCGCCTTTTGTTGTTGTAATGCATTTTTCAAATCAACATGATTAAATGTACTTTGCTAAAAACTCAGGGGTTACAATAAATGATCATTAAGTAATCCAGATTTTATCATTTAGAAAGTCTTTGAATGAAACACATATGAACTTAAAGGATTTTGATTTTGTACCTTTTTAGTGATATTAGGCACCCAAATCAAGCTCACCTCAAATATCTTGAGAAGTGTCCTCAAATACAAGCTGCGGATACTAAAACAGCCTCCGAGTACAGCTGGCACAATGATAAAGAGACACAGAAGAGTGAACCACGCAGAGATGGGGATGCTGAGACACCTGCACAGCAGGTTGTGAACAGCCCATGTAAATGGAGGCATGCTGTTATCGCACGGAGAACAACGACGGTGTGTGCCACACTGAAACACTCAGCTTCAGGGAAAGTCGTCTGTGCTGTTTAAAGCCATGCTGTCTGAAATCAGAATGGAGTAAGTCATTAAGTCATTGGCACCATTTGGCAAACACAGCACCATGATAAGAGATGCAATAGCACACTTGGGGCTCCCTTTCAGGTGACTTATCATTAAATTAATTAAGAAAAAACATCTGATTTTTCAAATAAACAATGACTTTTCTCTGAGAGCCTTTGTAAGCCAAAAGTTTCTTCCATCCTTTGAAGAATGGCTTAGTGGCTGCTGCTCACAGCTGTAGGCTGATTGTCTTCAAACACTGGAACATGTTTGATTGCTGTCAGAATCAATGTGTAGATGCACAGAATACTATAGTGAGGGAACCTCACTATAGTATCACTAGAGCAGGTGACTGGCTAAAAGCTTGTACAGCTGCACAAATATGAAAAATAATGGAAAGGTTTATCTGTTTACTATTGACAGCAAATGCATCTTAGGATAACTAAGACTAAATATTCAACCACAGGTTTTAGATAGGGGAGATATTATCACCCTCATCTGAGATTGGGTACCAAGCTCCAAGTGTGGCAGAGCACTGAGTGCAAGAGTAGCTAACCTGAATCTGGAAACTGGTTACAAAAGCTACGTGAGCAATACTGTCAAGGGGGCCCGAGGGCCTGTACAGAACTGAACTCAAGTGAAAGACAGGCGTGCAGAGTTCAAAGTTCTCAAATGCTTTATTTAACTAAGGCACAAGGTATTATTTAATGTGGTGTACAAGAATTAGAAACTTGTGGTGAAAGATACACTCAATACTATACTTGACGTGAGGCTGAAGCTAGAAACTTGTCTTGACTAAACATACAACCCAATACTTGGCATGATGTTCAACATGATTACAAGAGGGATGCTACACAAGGCTTGTCAAGAATGAATGACCTAAGATCCTGTGGGACTTCCAGCAGACATAGTAGTTGTGGACAAGCAGAGGAAGGTGGCCGTAGTGATAGATGTAGCTGTACCAAGTGATAGCTACATCAGGAAGAAGGAACACGAGAAGCTGGAGAAATATCAAGGGCTGAGAGAAGAACTCGAGAAGATGTGGAAAGTAGTCCATATTTGGTCCATATTAACATGACAGCATCACACAGTTGTTGCAGATTTGTGAGCTGCACATGTACAATGTGACTCCTGTTCCATCCCATCCCAAAGGTGCTCTATTGGATTGAGATCTGGTGACTGTGGAGGTCATTTGAGACATTGTCATTCAGGATGGATCTCTGCTTCCATGCTGTTTACACCAAGACTCATCATATCAGTCAACATGTTTCTAATTTTTCTGTCATCCACTTTGGAGAACCCTGTGAAACAGTTCAATTTTCTACTCTTAGCATGCCAGGAGTGTCTCCTTATGTGGTCCTCTTCTGCTCCTTTTGGACCATTCTGTATAAATCCTAGAGACGATTGTGCAGAAACTCCCCAGTAGAACAGTTAAATCGCCTTTCACCATGTGAACATACCTAAATGCATTGAGTTGCTGTGTGATTGACTGATAGATAATGAGCTAAGAATTTGAGCCTGGTGCACCCTATTGTATAACTGGGAAGGGAAGGCAATGTCAAGAACAGGAAATTCGTTACGAAATAAACATAAACTATTTTAACGTTTTACCTTAAATGCTTTTATATTTTATTAACAAAAGTTGTGTTGAAAAGGTAGCAGGGGAGAAGAGTCTGATCTTTCACAGGAAAAAAAGGATATGATGTTCTTATACATAATATAAATGATAAATGTTGTATCAAAACACACAAATGTGCTTGATGAATAATAGCCAGGGATATTTTAGGTGGTCATTCGCGAAGATACAAACAGGAACAGTCATTTAATGTTACTTTAGCAGACTTAGCAGTGTTACTTCTTTCTTTCAATTTTTTCAAACCTATCTGTTATGAGTTTTAACAAGTTTAGTTTATGTTTTATAATCATCGCACCTTAATTTAAATAATGAACTTTTTAGCCATTGAAGTCTAAAAGTACTAAAGGTAGTTCTTACCGGCCATTGGATTTACCGCCGCGTCAACAAGGATTGAGATGACAGGTGGTGTTCCATCTGGACAGTCCGGACTGAAGAACAGGGATTTCTGACACTGTGCTGCCTGTGCAGCCTCTCAGCAGCATGCTGTGGCTGCAGATCACAGGCAGACAGAGCTTTATAGAGTTAACAAGGCAACAGGTGGCCAATGAGGGCTGCTGTCACTGCACTGTGGATTGAACGTGGTATTAATCTGATTACAGTAAGTATGCCAGAAAACACTGTAGATGACATGAAGTCAGGTTCTTACAGCTTTGTATTCCCACCTGGAAAACCAAAACAGATGACAATGTTATGAGGAGCTACTGTTATTTACATCAGTTTTATGCTTTATATTCTAACTATGTTAAATTACATTGTCCCTTTTAAATAAATAAATGAAACAAATGAAGTTAATCTGCACCAATGAGCAAAATGTAATATAGAGCACCCATCCGCTTCTAAACCACCCATTTAAAATAACATGTATACGACTGGCTGCATTGTTACACCTGCATCAGTTATCACTGATATTTGCAGTTTATTATTTTCCGTCTATATTAGAAATATCAAAGCTATCTGATCATTTGGTGTTGTGTCCTGGGTGTTTTTATTGTGATATTTCTGAAGTTAAAAAAGCAAATATTGTAGATTTGCCAAGTATTTGCAACTCATTAATTTTAAAATGCCCTGTATTATATAGCCAACTGCAAAGACAAGGATGAAGCTGGACAGATGTGCAAACTGCATTGGAGCACTGGAGGCATGGAGAAACTTTCGGCTCATGTACTGAGCATAAGTTTAATTTTCCAAAATTACTGAAGGTGTAAGGAAAGCAAAACACAAGTTCAGCTACAGGCCACTTGAAATGTCAAAACACCATTTTGTGTGTTTTCATTTTATTTTGTATGAAAGTGTGTATAAAACAAAACATAGGAAAGAGAAACACAGCTTACAGTGTGTTTGTTTCTACTATATGAAGTCAGTTTTGAGCAGATTTTAAACTACTAGCACCTTGTTTTCCATCTTTTCTTAATTTCTTACCTTATTCCATACTTCCACGGCTCATTTATAAACTTTCCTGAAATGTTTGGTGATGCTTTTTTAACTTTTGAACCTGAGTTTTGGTAACAGATTTTACTGACTTTGAACATGGTATGGTTGTTGGTGCCAAACAGGCTGGTCTGAGTATTTCAGAAAATGTTGATCAGATGGGATTTTCCCATAAAACCATCTCTAGGTTTTACAGAGAATGAAAAAGAAGAACTGGTGGGAGCTGATATAAAAGCAACGCTATCAAATTACCACTTGTTTAAACCCAGGTATGCATGTGAGCATCTGAACACACGGCATGTCAAATCTTGAAGCAAGAAGTAACAGTTCGAGCTGGAAATGTTATATGATAGTGTTGGGGGTATTTTCATGGCACACTTAGTACATACTGTGTATTGTTTACACACCATAGCCTAGCTGAGTATTGTTGCTGGACATGTCCATCCCCTTTCGATCACAGTGTATCCATTTTCTGATTCTTTTCTCAGCAAGGTAATGCACCATGACACAAAGCTCAAATCATATCATTCTGGTATCTTCAATATAACGGTGAGTTCACTGTTCACACAGAGCACATTTGTGGGATATGGTAGAACAGGAGAATCTCATCATGGATGAGCAGCAATTGTGTGATGCTATCATGTCAGTACGGACCAAAATCTCTGAGGAAAGTTTCCAGCACCATTCAATGGGTCAAAAAGAAGTTCTGAAGGCATTTGGGGATCAAGGCTAGTACTAGCAAGGTGTACCCAATAAAATGTCCATTGAGCATATTTCCAAATCATTTCTAAGTTTTTTTTATAGTATTAAGTATTTCTGTCTCACCATTTTTAGACTGAACATGCAACTTCAGATTTCCAAGTAGTGCACTCTCACTCCTCACAGATTGTATCACTCTATCTCCACCTCAGCATTTATCTGTTGACTCTGACTATTTGTATAAAGGAGCTATTTTGCACATATCCTCCAGTCTCTGCTTCTGAATAAACTCCACATAAGAGGAGAAATGTTCCTTTTTGGTTTCTCTAGAGTCCGGAAGCAGTGGGTGGAAGTGAAAGATAATGAGGCATCCAACAAGGGTTTCTTTTTTGTTATGTGAAGATGTGAGCAGATGCTAGTATGGAGTGCAAATACTACAGTAGGTCTGTTGAGAGTCAAGTCTCAATATTTTCAAAGTTTCTTTAAACAAGAATCTTATTGTCCAATAAAAATGTGAATTCTGTGACACGACTCCAGTCAAAAGAAAGAAAGGAAACATCCCCATCACAGTGTTTGAGGTTAAGAAGAAACACACATTCACACATGGCCTAATCTCAATTTGGAATAAAAATCTTTATTTCTTTTAGATTCTGCTACAAGTTGCAGTAGTTTATTAGCATGCATAGTTTCACACAGTTAAAACAAGTAAAATCACAACTCTTTCTTCTTCTTTTTTTAAACAGCATGCATATACCCTCACATCCATTCATGAACAGTCTACAAATAATTTAGCTGTCCCAACAACTAAAGCGCATTTCACGCAGTCGTTTTGAAAAGGTAATTCAGTGCATCAAATTTCTGAAAAATATTGCATCTACTTACCAAACTGGATTAGACTCACAAATAATGTTTGTAAACTTTCTTTGGCTTTTTATTTTACCATAAAGAAGCTTCCACTGCTTCCTTGGAAATAATAATGACGGTAAGGAAGCTGGTACACTACATGGACAAAAATATTGGACCGCCCATAGCTTCATCTTAACAAGACATATTAGACAATTCTCCAACGTAGTGGGGACCGTTTGGGTAAGGCCCCCTTTTTTTTGTTCCAGCATCAATGTACTCGAAGCAAGGTCCATAAAGGCATAGCTGGTGTGGGAGAACTTGCAGAGCTCTGACCTCAACCCCGACAAACACCTTTGGGTTGAAGTGGAATAGAGATCGCGACCAATCACACACAAAAAATGATTCTTCACCCTCATAAACACGAAACAATAATTTTGAGCAAAGTGCAACTGAACTATATAAAATCAAAGGTCAATTTATTCAAATAAGTCATTATTAAGGAAAATATATTTTGTATAATCTAAATATATACCAATCAAGTGCATTTAATTCAATTAAATTCAGTTAAATTTATCCTTTGACTTTGTAACACTGTAGCAAAATTAGACAGAGAACTTACCTATCACTTATAGTCAGCATTTCAAACAGAGTTAGAGTGGGAATTAAGAAATGGGATTTAGGTGTAGTGTATAGGTGGCCCAATAGCTTTGTCCGTGCAGTGTATTAAAGATAAGCGTGTGCCAGGAGGGAGTTCGAAAGTGAGGTTGGTCGTTTGACTGATTTTGAGGTATTAAAGGTAAAAGTGTAAATGTTGCACCAAGTGAGATTTTTTCTAACTTCACAAATATTTTGTTCACTCAGCAAAACTCACAAAGAAACTCAAAATTATCAAAGCTCGCTGATGATAATAAAAGCACTAACCCCATCTCTTTACCACCTATAATTTACCTCTTTGTTGATCCCACGCTTGCACAGTCAGGCGTGGATGATTTCTCAGTGTCAAAACATGTTTTGTGTATTCTGAATATACTCGCGGAAGTAATTCAGAAATAGCAAAACACAGCATATATATAAAAAGTAAGGCCTGTCTTCAAGATTAGCAAGTTGCAGTTGAAAGAGTCCATCAGTCTTATGCACAGTGGCAATGACACACACATAAATATATATGTATAGTCTATATATCACAGTAAAATAGGTATAATGTTATTAAAGTCATGAGAACTGTATCGGTGCTACATAACATATACCGAACAAATACTGGGTCACGATAGTCTCCAGTGACATAACACATGTACAGCATAAGGTGGAAAGAAACAACAGTATGCACAAAACACAAACACGCTGCTTGACAGGGGTCACGTAACATGTTTCTATATTGCCATTTGTATTTGTGCTTCAGATATGCTCGGCATTAAAAAAAGGAATGTGCTGTATGAGTTCGGGTGTTTGCTGGCATACTGCTGCTTCTTCTTAATTGCTACAATTATTAAAGTGTAATGGCATGTAGTTTGTAGGTGAGCAAAACAGCTTCACCCATTGAGTCAGGAGAAAAAATCACATCAACATTAGAAATGTTGTCGTTAAAGGAAAATACGTTTGTAAAAACTACTTTGCAAAAGTCAGAAATGCAGCTATTGGTTTTGTTTGTGCTCTTGGAAACAGCAGCAGCATATTATTCTTAACAGTGTTACTCCCGACTGTAGTCGTCAGCATTTGTGCTTCAGCGTGGCAGTTTCAGGGCAGGGTTTGATATGTTTTCTTGTTTTTGTTTTTTTTTTGCTGTCTTCTTCATTGACAGATTCAGAAGTTCAAGCTTCATCAGTATTCTGTACTACTTGCACTTCTTTTCCTCCAAAACCCAACAGAGAATCCAAGCTGTCGTTTTAGCTCTCAGCCAGGAACTCACCGAGACATCATCCGCACAAATTCTGAAAATTAAACAAAGGAGAGATTATTCACACAGTGCAGGGACCTCCTGTGGTGGCCAAAACGGAGCAGAACTACGGTATGGTTGTTGGAGATACTGGAGCACAAGCTGACCTTGCTCAGTAGCAGCAGAATATGAGAAATCCTGTATTTGCTTCAAAGTGCTGAATATATTTATATTGCTTCCAAAAAAAATGTCTTAATGATATCGCCAGAGATCGTGTGCTGCTAAATGAGCATGACTTGATCTCTAGGCCATGCATTAACTTGGGTATTATTACTGCCTATCTATCTCTGTCAACAAAGAAAATATGCAAGTTAAATAGTCAATGACACATCGGCTCATGAGTTTACGTAAGAGAAACTCAGTTTTTGCCCTTTATTTTGTACTGATGATGTCATGGGGCTAATAATATGTTAGTCTGAAGATAGTTGGGTAAATTTTGGGCTCAAACAAGATAATGATCACTGGATTTCATACAGCTATGTTTAGCATTTCTGTGTTTTTTAGCTCATTGTTTTGGCTACACAGACTAGCACTTTGATTTTTCTTCCTCTAAAAGCTGAATGAGAGGAACCCTTGAAGGTCTTTTTTTTTTTAACTGAGCGGTTTCTTGTATATTTCATGACCTTCTTTACAAGATATGTCTTTATTGATATATACTGAGGTGTCAAAACTGGTGTATACAGGTGATACCTTTAAATATTGTCTTTATGGAATAACAAACTGCTGTGAGCCACTCTCACATCTCCAGTAGCATTGTTTCCAGATGCAGCAGGCAGCTGTTTTCAGTGGTAAAGCGCCAAATGCTAGCCACAACACTGAGATGATGGAGCGTTAAGCAACTAAACAGACAGTATTTGTTATGTCTCCAGATTTATTCCCTGATCTCCGTTTGGTTCTTACGTGTAGTTATGGTTTAGGTTTTGATTTTTCATTTATTTTAAAGTGTGATAAGCCTCCAGCTTTTTGTTATTTGTGGAGTTATTAGTCAGGTATGCACGTTCTGTTTGTCCGTGTTTTACTGTGGCTGTTGCCCAGCTCCGTGATTAGCCTTGTGTATATAAATAGTCCTGTGTCCCCTTTCCTTTGCCGAGTTGTGTGTTATCACATGGTATTTATTTTTTCTTGCGTTTCGACTTGTTTGGCACTTTGCAACAGCCAAAATAAGTCCTTGTTTATTAGAGTTCTGCCTCTCTGAGCTTTGTGTTTGTGTCCAGCACACGTCACATTTACCCTTGATATCAGTTTGCTGTGCTATATAAAAAAGCTTAAAAAAAGCTATAAAGTTCCCAGTAAAAGACAAAAAAATCAATTAAAGTTTAATAAAGATATCAAAAAGCAAAACTACACATCAGGTTGAATCAGTCTGCAGGTGTTACCAGGGCTTATAAAAGTCATAATCGCTGATCCACTTGCATGCACACGATATTAAATAAGCACTGGATACATACTAATACTACAGGATCCTAAAACAGAGCTGAACTTGAGGTTTCAAGTAGATCTGAGTAGACCCCAATTCATACCGTCTATGAGAGCAATTTCCAAACCTCATTTCTTTTTCTACCCAATTATATTTGCTTCCATATCTATTTTTAGCTTTAAAACAATTACCGAGGCACTCGAGCGCATAACCAAGTGCTGAGTATTCATATTTATTCTCTCGTCAGCCTCATTAGCAACCTGATGGTTCTCTCCTGCCTCACGTCTTCTTGTACGTTCTTTTCTGATCTTCACCCAAAAACCTGAAATTATGTATCTCTAAGTTTAGTAACACTGCTGAGAACAGCAAAACAGCCTTAAATTTTCCTCCCCGGCATCCTGCTGTATACATCTTTCTCTCTGTGGGTAATCTATGAGGTGACATAAACCTTTGGCAAGGAGATTATCTGAGACAGACCTACTGCTTCATCCCCTCACCTCACTCTCAGCATGGTATTGGTATATAAGGCAGACACATAGTGGGATTTTGCTTATACGTGAAATAGCTGTTTGCCTGTGTGTTTCAGAGATAGACTGAAGGTTGAGAGAGAAGGACAAAAGCAGAAAAAAAGGTTATACTGTGTTCACAGACATACTTCACAGTATTTTCTACCTTCAAAGTCTACACGTCCATCTCCGTTGATGTCGATGTCTCGCAGTATTTCCTCCAGTTCTCTGTGTCCAACCTAGAAAAGTCAGGTTGGTGTGACAGTGTGAGCTTCTGTGGCACAAAGGTTTAAAAGCAGACAGGCTGGACAGTGATGGATGGAAAGCTACAGGCACGAGAGCAGCTCTGTACCTGCTGTCCCAGAAGTTTTTTCATGGCCTCTCTGAGTTCTGCAGTGCTAATCTCGCCGTCACCATTAGTATCGAACTGAAAATGGGAAATAAACACATTACTAAAAACAAAAAATATTTATTGGTATTAAATGAAAATATAGCATTGAAAAAAATCCCGCCTTTCCTTACCTCTTTGAAGGCATCCCTCAGCTCCTTCACCCCTATCATGTCTGCTGTTTCAGCCAGAAGTTTGGGCCCCATGAGTTCAACAAAGTCTTCAAAGTCAACATGTCCTCCCACTGACGGATAAAATGTCAGCTTTTATGAGCAAAAACTGGCAGAATTTTGTTTTCTTCATTTCAACATTATCATATGAATAGTAATGGTGAAGAGTAAACTCTAATTTTAAAGGGTCAGTTTACCCCAAAATCCTGGCAGCTAGCACTATTTATCAATCTTCAATGTTCTGATTGGCCGTAAAGCTGCTTATTTTACCTTTAATATAGCGGTATTAGATGGCAATATGTAGTGATGACCAGAGACCAAGGAAGTGGGAATTTCATGAGTTAAAATGTCCTGATTCTTTTTGTGAAGAACACTAGGATGTCAAATGGCAACCTTTTAAACTTCCAAATAAAGGTTTGGGTAATCCGGTTGTGGCTGTGCAAATCTTGTAGCCAGAACACACAAGCTGAGTGTCACGTTTAGTTTGCATCCACCATAAGGTACGTGCATTTGGTTCCTTTACATAAAAGAGAAGACTGATATCTCTACAGCCAATCTCTCCAAAACTGGGCGGCTCTTATCAGAACAATCTAGATGGATAAGCAGCGCTACAGGATAAAAGAAGTGAATGCATATTAGGGTGAAATCTCTCTTTCAATTTTTATGCATATTTGGCAATGAATCAAGCACACAGGCACACTTCTAACTTACAGTTCATGTTGATCTGCTGGCTCAGTTCTATTAGCTCCATCTCTGTTGGCATGTATCCCATAGTTCTCATGCAGTTCCCCAGGTCTTTACAGCCAATGAACCCATCTTTGTCTTTGTCAAACTCCTTGAAGGCCTCGCGCAGCTCTGAGACCAAATGAAATTAAGTGTAAATGTGACAAAGATGTGTTGAAAACTACTTCAGAATACTGTAAAATTCACTCTTTATTTTTTACTAACAACATAGCATACCATCCATTTCTTCTGGCCTCAGCTCTCGATCCTGTGGAGGATCATATTGCAAGTTAGTACCCAAACACTGCTGATATCTTAAAAAATCAGGCCAATTCCCAGCATACAAAATGACACTGTAAAAAAGTAAATTGGCAACCACAGTGCCACAGAGTGCCACGAGCTTTCAGTTTTCACTCCAGCTATAGAGAGAAAGAAATTATTAGTGGGATCACACAGTTAATAAAACATTGAGTCTTCTATTTATAATTAGGCAGTGGGATCAAAGTGAAATACCAGAAACAAAATGTATGGCCTTCGTTGCAGCAGAAAAGAATCAGAACCATTTACTGTGTCTTTAGAACGGATGTGTGCGCAATGAGTGAAAATTGTTAGTATTTAGGGTAAATACAGAGACTAAAGGAAGATGTTAATACAAAATAATATGTGTCAGTCCATTGAATTAGAATAACTAGTCTTGACCACTGTATCCTTTAAGAAGTCCCATATGAGAGCTCATCATCAGAAGAGTCGTCCGCACTGAGGATTTCAGCATTGCTCCTGGCTTTAATAACAAGACCTTGAGTCGTGTTGTCAGCTGCTGGGAATAGATGAAGAGAAATAATCACCATGTGAGTAGCATTTCTGCCGCTGCCATAACCTGTCCTAATAATCCTCCATCCAGCTACAAAATGCATCCATCCTCATGCATAACAGATGCTCACATGCCCTTTCAGCATTCAACTTAAATTATCCAAAAAAAAAAAAACCCATCTTCTAAGCCCGACCGCTCTTCAATACATGCAGGAAGTGCTGACATTACAGTAGAAGGTGATTGCTACACACATGGGATTTGGTTGTTGTGCATGTACTGCATTGTGTGCTATAATCTCTCTTGGCATGCATGCACATGATATTTTCTGGACTTACGTACAGCCTGCCGGCTCTCAGCGAAGCCCTTGCGTAGAAAGATGCATGCAGGCCCCAGTACGTTGTGCATGTTGGCTCCATTCTGGGCCAGGGCTACTAGTGGCTCAAGATAGGCCCCCCCAGATCCCCCCTCCTCACAGGATTGCACTGCTTTGTAGTTCTTCTTCTGGTCCTGAAGAAGCATCCGGTGGGTAGCCGGATATGGATGAAGAGGCAAAGACAGGGGTAGAGAGTGTGACTCAGTTTGTTGAGGTATTGTTTCAACAAGGAGCCAACATGGAGATGGGAAGGAGGGAGGGTTCAGAGGAGGATCATAGATGACAGACATATGTCTGTCAGTCATTGGAAAGTGTGGAGTCAGGTGAGTCATGACAGAGGAAAGGATCTCAGTGACAGATAAGTGGGTGTAAAATATAGTGACAGTGCAACTGATGCCATCTACGTATAAATCCATCCGGCAAAAACCATCCTGCACAGCAGAACACTGCAGAGCAGGATGCAGGCCTCTTTTCATGTCACAAAGCAATAGCCTAATGTAAATAGTGCCTATCATTTTTTAATGGTCCTCACAGGTTATTGTGATCATTTTGATTCATTACACAATGTGGTTTGACTTGAGTAGCTTTGGCCATTTTTTCCAGTGATTACGATAACACTGCACTCACCACAATTGCTGAGATGTGGGGAAACAACAAGTCCAACTCCACACACTGGTCACACTTAACTCTGATATCAGTTTTTTTGCTCTACAGGGATGAATTGTAATAATAATAGTAATAGTAGTAGAAAGCAATTGCATGATTGCTCCCCAGATCTTATCACAGAAAATGGCGGGTGCAATATTATCTAAGCAATGGCCAGAACTAACAAAATAAGACCCAAGCTCTACTAAAATCAAAGAATTTCTTAATATTTTTTTTCTACAAGAATGTTTGTGCTTTTGACTGACGCAATTTATTTTTAGATTGCAAATCTGTAAACAGTAGTACGGTTTTCTAGTTCAGCACGAGGTCAAATAAGGGCATTTAGAGTGTTATAGTGAGTCCATGCAAGTCAGCTACAGCACTATTGCTGGGATTGTTACTTAAAATTACCCAGAAGTGGCTAGTTTTCTGTTTTTTTGTTTTGTTTTTGGGGGGTTTGTGCACATTGTAAAACAGTTTTCCTGAAGGTGATGCTGACGTTCAGCCAGCCATTTAATTATAATCACCAATTAGCCAATCAACCAGGGGGCGAATGTTGTTCTCTCACATCAGTCATTGTGATTACCGAGAGGGCTACAAGTTAATTAAAACTGTTTTTTAAGCCAAATAAGGTCCAGAAGGTCCAGCTGCAGACCAACACAGCTCAGATTGCTATTTAAAAAACAGAGTCTAATGTGCATTTTGGTCAAGATGAGATTAACTAATTTTAATGCACTAATATCTCTTATAAAACATGTCACATTGATCTAGTTTTGAATTACTGCACTTTAACATCCAACTCAATGCAGGAATTTAAAGCTAAAAGGTAGAGAAGTAGACGTTATATCACAACGAGTTACCAGCGGACCATTTTGCTGTTGTTTTAAATCTTTCTGACATGAATTTGTACAACGTTCAGATGCTTTATACTGTCAGCACAAGACATCTGCATGCATATGCAATGAAAAATTAATATGCATGCTTGTGCAATATGCACAAACACACACTATTATGCGCTCTACAAATGACCTTCACACTCCATCTGTTACCATGCCAGTCGTCCTGCCAGTTCGTGCATTCCTACAGTTTTCACCACAGGAGCGGATGCCCACTGGGTAATCTGACCAAGTGATGCATGGAGCGGGGCTGTCTGTGGCTATATCGTGCCAGAAAAGTACTATGAACACATGCGCTAGCTTTTATATAACTAAAAAAGAAAATACACGTACACACGCACACACATGCACATACAAGACCAAAGAAAAATCTGAGAGGATGTCAAAGAAACGCTGAAGTCAAGCAAGAACTTCTTCAGCACTCCAACCAATTTTTGCACAGATGGCATCAACAGTTGCTTGTCATATTGTTCTTCCTCAAGGATGTGCAGCTGGCGCAATAAAGGAAATTCTATTCGTGGGTCTGTCTCCCTGCTACACTGACGGTCTATTCAAGCATACGCTGATACGTGAAAGATGTAATCCAAAATTAGATGTATTAATAAGCCCAAAGACTCTGAGCCAGTGAAAACAGCACACCTGTTTGCAACATTTCCACTGCCTGATCGCATCCTGCAGGTGCTGTTCAACAAGGTAGCATCTTCACCTGGCTGATAAGGTGGTGTGCAGCCTGACTGACCTTAAGTGATGTGATCCTAATTCACAGATGCAGTCGACAGGTCAACCAAGAGGACTGACCAGCCCCTTGAACCTCTATGTGAATACATGCACTGATAAGGAAAGAGAAATCTTTCTGAAGTCCTTAAAAATGTCAACGTGTAAATGCAGACTGAGTTTTAAAGATCAAAACTAAAAGCTCCTGACTTGGCTAAAAGTACATAAGAGACGAGCTTTAATCTTAAATTATTCTGCTGTTATTCTCCACACAGCCTGAATGTAAAATATCTAACAGTACGCCAGCTCAGTCAGTGCAGATCCAGTCAAATAGCCATCGGTCAGGTTGGGGACAAACCATTAGAAAAACATGCACCAGGAAGGAGGAGATTCAAGGAGAATGAAAAACCTCAAAGCGGACCTTACCTTCTTGGTGAAAATTTTAAGCGACTTTACAGAGTTGCCCATTGCAAAAACAAACAAACCAAAAAAAAAAAAAATCTTCCTGTCTTATGTTTTCTCTCTAACTGTGGCTGTGTTAGTGAGCCTGCATGTAAGTGCACGTGTATGCATGTGTGTTTGCAAGTGTTTCCAGGCATGCATGGGAATAAGAGTGATTAGAAAGCGAAAGAGGGTTCAGTGGGTCATTGACTAATAAAGGAAGACATTTGGGAGAAGGCAGGGAGAAGAGCAGGGATATAATAGGAGGTACGAGGGGAATAGGACGGAGAGGAGTGTGCAGGGAGGACCTGGAGGCAAGGACACTGGAACGAGGGGGAGGGACACTGAGACAAAGGGAGGGAAATATGTAAACAAGAATGACGGACAGGTCAGAAAAAACACAAAGATGCGCGAAAGAGAGGAAGCATGCATGTAATCAGCTCGAGATGCAAATGCCAGAAGTAGAAAAGAAAGACTGCTTATTCATTCTATCCTCTCTCCTACTGTGTCTCCCTCTACCCTTTCTCTCTTCTCTCTCTGTCTCTGTTATCTCTCTCCCTCTCTCTCTCTTCTCTCTCTGTCCGTCAGTCTGTCTCATGCTCTTTTCCCCCTCAATTGCTCCCCCAAGTCCTGCTCACCCCACAGTTCTAAACCATCTATACGAATGTGACAGAAGAAGCTCGTTCGGACAAGCATATTACCTTCCCCTGAGCAAGATGCTGGAGACACTAATCCAAACATGCACACACGCACATGCACACACAGACACATCTCTCTCTCTCTCTCCCTCTCTCTCTCTCTCACTCGTACACACGCTCGATTAGACACTCTTGGATGTGGGGCTGTGGAGCTAAAAATATAACACACGCTCTCTCTTCCCCCCTATTCCCACCACTCTACCCCCAGCATCCATCCCTGCTCTCTCTCCCTCTCCCTGTATGTGTCGACCACACACATACACACAAAGACGTAGAAGCATCACAAAGTCACGTTAAGCTTGAAGGGCTCGGATTCAGATCAAAGCTAAAATGTGCAAGAAATGACACATGGATTCTGAACCACTGCGCTGGAGGATTCAAATCAGTGTGTGCAAATGCAAACACACACAGACGGAAAATAAATGCTCTCTCTCAGCCTATCTTATGCGCACACACACACACACACACACACACACACACACACACACACACACACACACACAAGCATACATTTGTTGTCAGGCACAATGACCAAAAATGTGGCTTTCTAAAAATGAAGCCCCTGTAAAAACAGTAGTGAAAAGGAAAATGCATGCAAATGCAAATGTGGGCTAATTGACTGATCAACACTTTGTCCTACTAGGCTTCACATTTAAAGTAAATGCTGCACCTTTAATTCCAGGGTGCAATAAAAACTTAACAAACAAAAATATGAGCTTAAAGTTAATTCACTCATTTCATTTTGTCTCACTATATGTGTTTCCATACCATTTTGCATTTACTTGTTAGTTATTATTGACCTCTGGTTCTCTTCCACAGTGTTTCTTTTGTCCCGTCTTCCTCCCCTCACCCCTAACAGCTCACGGGAGATGGCTGCCCCTCCCTGAGCCTGGTTCTGCTGGAGGTGTCTACCTCTTAAAAGGGAGTTATTCCTTCCCACTGTCACCAAGTGCTTAGGGGGGCCATCTAATTGTTAGTGTGTCCTCTATTTTTTGTAGCGTCTTTACCTTAAAATATAAAGTGCCTTAAAGGGACTATTGTTGTGATTTGGTGATACATACTGTACATATATTGCATGACTTTAAAATGCACAGCGTGTTTATTGCAGGAGTTTTAAGTGAGAATTCAGACATGTTCTTATTGACATGTCCCTCTTAAGTAAAAGCCCTTCCCTCTGAGGCATATTTTAAGGTATGTAAACAAGTTCTGCCTTAAACATTTATTATTTATGACCAGTTTGGTTTTTTTGCATATGATAAAATGAATGATTATTTCTTAAAACCAAGCTGTTATTTGATAGCAAATCTAATTATGTTGGTAATGTTTAAAAAGAAAACTGAGGAGAAGCTTTTAGGATTTTGGTAGTCGTCATTTTATGCGGGAAAAGTTCTTCTTTCTGTCATAAACATCCACCTAGTGGTAACTTAACAGTCGTTCGCTGCGGCACTGACGTGCATCAATATTTCCCCCTCCTGTCCGACCTTGTCTATTCACTGATGTTCTAATAAACACATTCACGCCCAAGTTGCTTCACATCTAACTCCCATTCAATATCTGAGCGGCTCCTCTGCGTTGTTCCTTGGGTGATTCATCCAGCCTCTCACCACAGGCTCATTGTGAACTTCAGAACACATCAGACGTCAGACACAGGAGCCGTCAGCTCTTATAATGTCACACCGTAGTGTGCACGGGCATGAGATCCATCCCTCTCTCTCTCTTTTTGCTGTATCCTTTCCCTTTTCCATCATACTCACTCTCGGATACTTTACCCACTAAGAAGCAAGTTATTTACTTTCGTTGATATTAGTATCAGATGGTTATGGGGTGACCATTTATCAAGAGTCTACATACGCGCACAAGGCAGGAATCTAAATCAAACAGGAATATTAATCGTTTCCTTTGCGATTTATTTGAGATTTGAGGTCAAACATAATCCTGTTTCATCCATCCTCGGCCATCAGCTGTGTTAAATGAGCTGAGAGAAGTAGAAGGGTGAGGGAGGGGACTGATGCAATAATAAGCTCACATGAGTTCACCAGCCGTTGTCCTCTAAAGCCACCGAGTTAATATTACACAAACAAGGAGACTGTGACCACAGAATTCATGTGGTTTGTTTGTGAGTTCGTCATCAAAGGACATCCGAGCGGTGAAAAGACACGCAGTGCGCACTTGCGTCATCTTCTTGTGTTTGGGTTGAGACGTCACAGTTTTTATCCTGCAGCTGATTCATTCATTGGAGTCAGATTATAGTCAGTATTTAAGTATTTTTCTTTCAAACATCTGCTTTTATGTGAGAGGAGTTAAACATCCAGTGTGTCAGCAGGGGAAAAATATTCATATGTGTCTTTTTATTGCATGTCAGTTATTGCTGATTTTTTTTTCTCTCCCTCTGAGTCATTTATCCCTTCTAGTCTGTCTCGCAGTCTCTCACACTGATTTTCCCTTTCAGCCTCAGGTCTGCATCAATATTTAGCATCATCACATGGGCACACATGCACTCACACACACACACACACACACACACACACACACACACACACACACTTCATAATGTAGCATGTGCATTTGTGTGCACGGGCCTCTAATCCTCATCTCAAAAAAGGGGTTTACCTCCTTCTTGGAGATATAAATATATCTACCATATGTCTAAAAATAGCTTTGTATGTTCTAGATATGAAGGAGGCGTCTGTTCTTCTTATTTTCACCCTGATCTTTCTCCTCATTTTACTCATTTGTGCTCCCCCCCTGTAGGCACTCTCCTTTTATCCCCTCTCAGACGTCACTATGACCCAGGTCAAAAAAGGAAAAAGGAAAAAGGAAAGGAAGAGAAGGAAACATCAGTGCGTGCGAGTACAAGACGAGTAACAGGAAGTGGAGTTAATCTGTGTTTTAAGACCTTTTCCTTAGATTGTCTTTAGACTTTTCAGGTGGGAGCGAGGAAGTAAGAGGTGATGAGCGTTTGCTGGTATAACAATCATCAGGTCTGCCAGTAAAGGCGCACACTCTTCCTATTTTACATCCTTTGTCCCCCTCATTTATGCGATTCCTCCCCGCTCCCTTCACTTTCTTTTCCGGCCCTTTCGCTTCTCCTGGCTCCCTGATGTGACATTCTCCCCCCACTCCACCCCCTCTCTCCCTCACCCACACACTGGCAGCTCAAAAACCTTGGTACAAATGATACTTGCTCCCTCTGCTGGTCAATGCACATCCTTCAACTATTATTTTAGAAAAAAAATAAGAGATTTCTCTTCATAATAATTTCTCATCACACATCTTTCAATAACAGTTCTCTACTACATTTCCACATTTCCTGCGAGAGTGTGCAGAACAAGGTCACAAAAACCGAGAGCTGTAGTTGGGCTCTTAAAATAGAAACAAATTTTCTACTGGGACGTAAAAGTGCTCTGTCCTCGATCAAGGTGTCCTTTTAAACCCGAATGGTTCAAAGGCCAGAATGTGCTGGGATAATGGGAGCTAATTACGGTGCACGGATGCTCTAAGGATAGAAAATTTGAGTGAATCACAGTGCCACAATCTCCCTATAACAAACGATCCGCAAAATGCAAGCGGCAAAACACATTTGTCCTTATTCTAACCCCCACACTTGCCTCTGTGGTCATCATGAGTCATCATGATTCACGTATTAAAATGTGAATTTTAAGATGACGGCTTGAAAAAACATTCACCGTCTTTCTCAATCAGGAAGCGCACTTGCAGAAGCCTGAATATTTTTGCCAAGACAAAACAAAAAGTAATAAAAAGAGGAAAAAAACACCCTGCCCTCCTCCAGTCTCTCATAATCAGGTCTTGTTGGGCTATTTTTAGCCTTCTCTACATGCAGCGAGTGTGTTCTGTTAGGATTGTGTGCAGATCTTGATGTTACATAAGAAAATATGAAAAGAAAGAGTTTGCAGGGAGTTTAATGCCTCATTGCTGGACCCGGTGTCAAGCTGCCGCATCCCGATTTAAGAAGTACTAAAGGGCATACTATGACGATTGTGTTGTCAAATAAATGAAACAGCTTAGGTAAGACGCTGAGCAGGTGCAAAAGAAGAAATAAATAAATAAGAAAGCATGCCTGCATAAGCCTTCTCAGCTTTCTTCACTTTTTGTCCTCACACATGCATCATTCGCTTGCTGGCTCCTTCACACAAACACTGATGCACACAGACTCACAACTAGTTCGCGTCCACTCACAAATTCATTTTAGCTTTTGACGGCCGTGTTTGGTATGACTGAACTTCCGGGCGATATCACAAAACAAAGCACTTTGAGAATTTGATTATTTTCTTCCAAAATCAGAATTAATTACAGTAGGTTTGCTGGTTTGGTAAGCCTGCATTTTCAAATTACATTTGTAGCTTTTTATACTTTTTCTAGCTTTCACAAATGTAATTCTTCCTCACTGTTCCCCTGAATCAAAAATCTGAATTTTTCCCATGTGGGATCTAGGCAGAAAATATCAGATCTCCTTATTCTATGCACATCAGCAGCTCTGGAGACTTTATATAGCACACCGCTGGATGGATTTTGCCTCACTGGAACCCCTAAGACTGATTGAAGCTCTGGCCTGGATTGAGGAGTTATTTCTAGAACACATTAGCACACTGAGAGGTAATTGTCTCCTCTTTAGCTTTTTATCATCCAAAGATGATGAAGAAGGATTTTAAGTGAAATGAGAAAAAAAGATGGGGTGGAGGGAGTTGAAAAATCTAATGTGCAGCTTCCTGATCTGTCTGAGTAACAGGAGGAATTTGGCACCCTTTGTAGAAAACTAGTTTATTTGGAAGTGAACAGGTGGTGAAGTGATGCAGCCTGCATTTGTCACTCACCACGTTATTGGCAAATGTTACGAATGATATCTCTACAAACGCTTCACTTACCGTTGTGTGTGTGCGTGAGACACACGGGCTCTCATCACTGAAACATTTTCCACACAGGGGGGTAAGCTGATCCCCCTGCTGTCACTCAGGTGACAGCAACAATGAAAGTGACTGCATTCATATCGGGATGCATGAAAGACTACAGAGAGCGTGAACGTAATGGATACCCAAAACAAACAGGAGCCAGATTTGGACTGAAAAGATGCATTCATTTTTAATCTGCCCAGAACGGGTGACACCCTGTCAGTCCAGCCTCACCTTCATCTCACCTGTGAAACCTGCTGCTGAATTTCAGCAGCTCTTATGAAAAGCATGTATGCTGCAGTTAATGGACCAAACCTTTGCAGCAACGAACAGGAACCCACAAGTAAAAAGCTGAATATCTAATGAGCAATATTTATTTTATTCATTTAGGATTGTTTTATTTATGTCCTTTTATACTGAAAGATCTGCTGTGACCCTGAATTGGATAAGAAAAAGACAATGGATGGATGGATGGATGGATGGATGGATGGATGGATGGATGGATGGATGGATGGATGGATGGATGGATGGATGGATGGATGGACTTTCAAAACATTTTCTTTTTTATCTGTGAATGGAGATGGTCTGAATGTGATGTCCACACAGAACATGAAGATCCAGTAGTGCAATCCAGTAAGGACCTCAAAGTGAGCAACCTGCATCACTTTGTAAATAGACTCGATTTTGATCTTTGTGGGGGAATAACAACGTTTTTCTCTTTAGTGCAAATAATTTTTAAAAAAAAAACAAAAAAAACGAGTGTTCCAGTTTCTTCTGGTTAATGAGTCTGCTTTTTTTTTTATTCATGCTGCTACTGAGCAGTAATACAGCTTGATATTTTGCCCTTTGCATTATGCTACAACAAAGCTCTGCAGACTTAATGTCGAAAC